GGTTCTTTGGTGAGAGAGAGAAGGACTTTGTTAAGGTCCCAGGTGGGGTAACGGTGCACGGCTGGAGGGAGTAAGTTGGTGGCCCCTCTAAGAAAAGCCCGTATACGTGTGCGATGGGAGAGGGAACTGAAACCCTCACAGGAAAGAACTGATGAGAGTGCAGCTACCTGTCGTTTCAGTGTATTAGGAGGCAGCCCCTTGTCAAGTCCCTCCTGAAGGAATTCTAAAATCTGGGTGACAGAAGGGGAAACGGGGTTAATTTGAAACATGCTGCACCATCTACAGAAAATGGCCCATGTGGCGTTGTAAATTCGGATGGTTGAGGGCCGTCTGGCAGCTAGGATGGTGTCAATGACCTTGTTGAGAGAGCATTTCGTTCCTCAAACTGCTCCGCTCAACCCCCAGACGGTCAGTTGAAACCATTGAGGTTCCGGGTGTAGGAGGGGCCCCTGAGATAGAGAGATCCTGTCTGGTGGAATCCTCCAGGGAGGGCCCACCGAGAGAGTATGGAGGTCCGAAAACTACGGCCGTCTGGGCCAGTGAAGAGCAACTAGGAGCAATTCCGCCTTCTCGTGGAGCAACTTCTGAATAACCCTGAGCACCAGAGCTAGAGGGGGGAATGCGTACAGGAGCCCCGTGGGCCATGGGCAGCGGAGCGTGTTGTAATTCTCCGCCCCTTGGGATGGGTACCTTGAGAAGAATCTCGGGAGCTGGGTATTGAGCGGGGAGGCAAATAGGTCTACCACCGGTTGTCCGAATATTCTTGCTGCTTCTTTGAACAGGGATGGGTGGAGGCGCCACTCTGACTGGTCTATGGTAGCTCTGCTTAACCGATCTGCTTGAGTATTTGATAGGCCCTATATGTGCTCTGCCCTGATGGACAGAAGATTGCTCTCCGCCCAGCGACACAGGCGCTCAGCTTTCCTCATTAATTGTACTGATTGTGTGCCCCCCGTTTATGTGGGCTTTGGCTGTCACGTTGTCTGTTAAAATGAGAATGTGCTGCCCGCGTACCTGGGGGGAGGAAGCTGCGCAGGGCCAGGTGCACGGCGCAAAGCTCCAGCCAGTTTATGCTGCACGACTGATCTATTGCAGACCATCTGCCCTGGGATGTGAGTGACTGGACGTGGGCACCCCATCCATATAGACTGGCATCTGTGGTGATAGTCAGCCTTTGAGGCTCCTTGAAGAAGCAGCCTTTGTTGATGACCAGTTTGGCCCACCAGAGAAGGGACGTGAGGACCTTGAGAGGTACCCTGACCGTGAGCTTGGAATTGCTTCTGCCAGATCTCTGATATGGGAGCAGGAACCACTGGAGGGATCTGGTGTGAAGACGGGCCCAGGGAACAATAGAAATACATGATATCATTTTTCCCAATAGTTTTGACAAATCCAGTAGGGCTACCTTCCTACGGCACCTGATGTCCCTAACTAGTTTTTGAATACTAAGTAGTCTTCTCTGAAGACAGGTAGACTTTGCCTTCCACCGTGTCAATGACTGCCCCTAAATGAGTTATTCGAGGAGATGGGGATAATTGGCTCTTCTTCCAATTTATGAGAAACCCATGTTCTTGGAGAGAAGTTAAAGTGGCCTGGGTGTCCCTCGCTGCCTGATGGGTAGAGGGGGACAGGATTAAAATGTCATCCAGGTAACATTGGAGACGAATGGGAATGTTCCTGAGATGGGCAGCTAGTGCTGCCAGGACCTTGGTAAAGGTCCTGGGGGCAGAGGCTAGTCCAAAGGGAAGGGCCATGTACTCGAAGTGGTGATTGTTGTAGCAGAACCTTAAGAATTTGTAATGGGAAGGCCGAATGGCAATGTGTAAGTTTGCTTCCATCAAGTCTATGGACGTGAGCACATCCCCTTGCCTGATGCCCAGCAGTATTGATTGCAGGGTATGCATTTTGAATTTGCGGTATGTTAGGAAGCAGTTGAGTCGTTTTAAATCTAAGATCGCTCTCCACCCCCACCCAAGTGTTTTGGTACCACAAAAAGGTGAGAGTAAAAGCCCCGCCCTAGTTGCTCGGACGGTACTGGTTGGATGGCTCTTGTTTAGGAGATGCTGGATAGCGGAATCCATTAGATTACGCTTGACCGGGTCTCTGGAGAAGGGGGATGACAAAAAGAAATTTGGGGGAGTGGATTGAAACTCAGGGGCAAGTCCAAATCTAATGGTGTCCCTGACCCAAGAGTCAGAGGTAGAGGAATCCCATCGACTCGTGAATGACTTAAAGACATCTGCCAATGGGGAGAGTGTCCCTTAACCTATCTCGGATGTCAGAAGGGCCTGCTTCCGGCTCCCCAAAAGGGCCTTTTATATTGACTGCCCCTCCGGCTCCTGTCTCCCGAATTGGCTCTATCCTGGGGTTGTCCTGACCTGAACGATGGGGGCCTCTGATACCTGGGGGAGAAGGGGGCCTGATAGGAGGGCTGGGAAGTTCTGAAGTCTGACCTTCGTGTAAGGGAAGGAAGGAATTTTTTCTTACTGCGGGTCTCCATCAGTAGAGGGTCCAGGGAAGGGCCAGTTTGTTTCCTACTATGGGGGAGGAAGCCAGCTTGGCTTTGTTCTTAAAGTCTGCTTGCCAGTGCCTCAGCCAGACTAGACAGCGGGCTGTGACGTGAGATGTGATCGCCCTTGCAGAAAATTTAACTGCGTGGTATGTGGCATCAGCAGAAAACTCGGCTGCAGCAGTGAACTTGGCAATATCCTGGTGCGCCCTGATGTTGGATGTAGGGACGTGTTGCTTGAGCTGACAAAGCCATTGAATGGATGACCTTGTGAAAAAAGATGCGGCCGTAGCCAATCTGATGGCCCAAGCATCCGACTGATGAGCCCTGCGCAGGGCCAACTCGGCCTGCTTTTCCTCTGGCTTTAGGGCTTCCAGCACATCAGTCGGAGTTGAGGAGGAAGCCAGGCCCACTATGGGCTCGTCTACCTCAGGGGTGCTTAATAATTTTGAAAATTCCGGATCCAAATTAAAGTATTTTTTGTCGTGACTAAGGGGGCTGGGGGCACCACTGCAGACGCCAGTTGCTTTTGCACCAGGTCGGCAAAGATGGGTGGAGCTGGGATAACCTCGGCCTCTTCAACGGGCTGATTAAAGATGAGATCCTCTGGCCCCTCCGTTGAAGGAGCGGGGAGGTCTGTTGGGGATTGCTTACTTAGGCCTGAAATGTTCTTGGCCTTGAATAACAAGGATTTGAATAGGTGAGGCTTGAATAAGCCCCTCATCCTCAGACATTTCGCCTTCTACAGGGTCTGCCTCTGATAGGTGCTCACTGTAGTGCATAGACCCCAAATCGAACTCGTCTGGTTCCATGAACTGATCCAATTCCCACTCCCCCTCTTCCTCCTCCTTCTCCCGCTCTTGAAGGGGGGGTCTCCCTTTGCAAGGGTACCTGAGCCTGATGTTGATCCGACCTGGGCAGGGACCTTACTGAGTGAGACTCCTGGTCAGAAACCACCGGATAATGACTAGGCCTGGTTGCTTGTTGGATTCCGGCTGCGATTCCTTGGCGAATAGCCAACTCCATCCAGGATCTTATTCTTTCTGGAACCTCCTCAAAGAGAGACTCCTCTTGACAGAGGCCAGCTGCTGTTGGGGTGAAGGTGGCTTCTGGAGCCCTTCTAACTGATGTTCCAGGAACCTGAGCCTGTTGTTCCTGTGAGGGAAAGCTGCGCCTGGATGAGAGGGAAACATCCCGGGGGGGTTGAGCAGAGGTAGAGGGACTGGAGGATGGAAGAACCTGAGGCACCTTGAGTGCTTCCTTAGCTCGTTTATCAATTTCCTTTTGCAGGGCCTTGTGGCGCCTTAAGGCGTCCCTCTGGGCAGCTTTGGAGGTCTCTTTAGCCTGCTTGCGCAAATGATGGGTCCTGGCTTTTGCCTTCAATGAAGATCCTCTAGAGGTGTTACCATCTGCCATTTCAAGTATTTATATATTGCAGTAATAGGTTAGAAATCAATATAAGGTGGTTGGCACGCCCAGGGTCCGATCTGAGGCAAGAACGGTTGCCCTGATCAAATATTTCACGTCCCCCTTTTTATTATTTTTTTTTTTAATACATATATGTATGTATGTGTATATATGTGTGTGTATGTATGTATGTATGTATGTATGTATGTATGTATGTATAGAGACAAATGAGTCGTACCTCAGTGATAATATTTTTGTGAATTAAAATATTATACTGCCAAGATATATAATATTAATAATATGCTTGTAATGAAATAGGATGGCTGGTGCAATTGTATCCCTGCTCCTGGGATAGAGTAGTTTGTATGGACAATTGCCAATGAGAAAGGAAAGACAAACAAGCCAATCAGCCAAATTTTGAAACGCCTAAGGCCCAGTTAGAAGTTAAAATTGGGGCCTTCAGCAGCCTCTCTGCACAGGCGGACACAACGCCTGGGTGCAGCTGCTGCGCCGCTGGAATTGAGCTGTGGGGTTGAGCCAACGAGCCTTAAAGATTGATTACAAGTACAATCTAGTCAGATGAGAATCAATAACTCAGAAAAGCCAGGCAGGGACCTGTTACTTCGAATAAATTTCCACTCACAGCACAGAATTAAGGAGAAAACAAAATGGCATGCAGCCACAAGGAAACTCCCAAAATGGCATCTGTCAGCACGTCACGCCTCTCAGCGGCATTTTACCCGCCTGGTAGAAAACGAGGCCAAAGCTCTGCCTACAGAGGTGGCCAGGGAAGGAAGAGATTAGCCCTTCTCCTCTTGAAAAAACGACGGCATTCGAAGGTAGGGGAGAAAAAAACACGATACGACTCAGAACGGAGCGAAAAAAACCAAGCCGCTAGAAACGGAACGAAGGGAAATGAAGCGGCAAATGAAAGGAGGCAGAGTGAGGGGTTTTCGGCTATGGGAGGTAGTGCGAAGTCGCTACTGACCCTCCCTTCGCCTCCCTTGGGGGCGTAACTGCGCTTCCCTTTGGTGGCAAGGCTGCCAAACTAAGCAATTGCGCAGAGGCTAAAGAGAAAGGGAACAATTCAAACCTGTGAAAACTCAATTGAAACTGTGAGAATCGAAAAATTCTGGTTCGGCCAAGGAGATATGTAAAGCACTGCCTGTCTTGCACGAGGCTGAGCAAAAACTGGGGAACGCTGTGGAGGAGTCACGTGGAGGAGGAGGAGCATTCCGCAATTCAAGCTCAGCCTATGAATGCAGAGACTGAAGCACCTCCCACTACTGGATGCTCTGAGCAGCTCATAGGAGAATCTAGAACATTAGTATTTCTTACCATGTCCGGACGAAACAAGGGAGGGACTGGGCTCTCTAGCAGCGTAGATAGAAAGGGCATTCTCAGGTGATTATACCAATGCCCATTCTCCTCGAGGCTGCTGCGAGAGCCCAGGATGGGACATACCAAAGCCTGCATGTCCACAGGAGGGTCCTCGCAATGCTTCTGGGTAGAGTGCGCAGTCAGACCCTGAGGCACTGGAAGAGCGATAGCCTTGTAGGCCTCTGCAATGCAAGCCCTGACCCACCTGCTTATGGTGGGAGGAGAGGCTTTGTTCCCCAAGTGAGATGGGGAAAAGGAGACAAACATATCTTCGGTTTTCCTAAAGGTGGAAGTGTGTTTGAGGTAAATTCTTAAGTGCTCTCCTAATATCTAAGGTGTGCCACTTGTGCTCTAAATTGTGGTGCAGAAATCTGGCAACACAATGTCCTGGGACCTGTGGAACCAGGTATTGACCTTTGGGATAAAGGCGGAGAACAACTCTATTATGAAAAGTGTATAAATCCTGTCTATCGAGAGGGCAGCCAGCTCTGACACCCTTCTAGCCGATGTGATTGATACCAGAAAAACCACCTTCAGTGTCAAGAATTGCAGAGACACTGTCCTAAGGGGTTCAAATGGTGGTTCCATCAGGGCCTGGAGCACCTTAGGAAGGTCCCATGAAGGATACCTGTGTACTACAAGGGGCTGAAGGTTAGAAGCTGCTTTTAAAAATCTCCTGACAGAAGGATGATGAGACAAGGAAGGAAATTATTCCCAGGCGAGAACTGAGGAAAGGGCCGCTACTTGCCAGAGTAAGGTATTAGGGGCTAGTCCCTTCTCTAGGTCATCTTGAAGGAAACGTAGAACCTCTGCCAGTTGTGCTGAGGTGGGTGATAGACCCTCCTTTAGACACCACTGACAAAAAACCCTCCAGGTGGCATCGTAGATGCACTTCGTAGATGGTTTACGAGACACCTGGATGGTGAGAATAACCTTCTCCAGGAGATTAGCCTCTCTCAACCATTGCCGCTTAATTGCCACATGGTCAGCTTGAACTACTAGGGATCCGGATGGAGCAAGGATCCCTGATGAAGGAGATCATGTGGGCTGGGATCCTCCAGGTAGAGGCTACAGACAGGTTCACCAGGTCTGCAAACCAGGGCCTCCGTGGCCAATAGAAGGCCAAGAGAATTAGCTCTGCCCATTCCTTCAACATCTTCCGAATGACTGCCAGAATGATGGGAAGAGGGGAAAAGGCATAGAGGAGATCCCCGGGCCATCTGCAACAAAGAGCATTGGTCCCCTCCGCTCCCTGACAAGGAAACCTGGTGAAAAACCTATTTACTTGGGCGTTTGGGGAGTGGAGAAGAGATCCATTTCCAGGGTCCCAAACCTCAGGGAAAGGTCCCTGAAAAGGGACGGGTGGAGGGGTCATTCTGCGTAGTTGACCAAGCTCCGGATCAGCCAGTCGGCTTGGGACTTGTCGAACCCAGAGATGTGATCTGCCATTATCGAACAACAAATGTCTCTCCACCCACAGCCCCAAACATTCAGCCTTCCTCATGAGGTCTCTGGACCTCGTCCCCACTTGCCTGTTAACATGCACCTTTGCAGCTATGTTGTCCATCAACACTGGTACATGGGATCCAGTTACCATGGCCCTGAAGTGTCTCAGTGCCAGAGATGTGGCCCTGAGCTCTAGCCAGTTAATGGGACAGTTTTTGTCTGTACGGGACCAAACCCCCTGAGCTATCTGGCCCTCCATATGGGCCTCCCAACCCAGAAGACTCATGTCCGTGGTGAGCAACAGCCTGTCTGGCTCCTTGAACGAGAGCCCCTTCCAAAGGGCCGGGGAGAGCCACCACTTGAAGGAATGCCGAGCCTGTGGAGTAAGCTGGACCCTGATCGATGTGTGGCTGGTTTCTGCTTGTTGAAAAGGGAGCAGGAACCATTGTAGAGATCAGGAGTGAAGCCCTGCCCATGGGACAATGCCGATGCATGAGATCATCTTCCCCAGTAGTGTGGACAGCTGCGACAGAGGAACAGTGTGTTCCTTGGATTCCTCTGCAGCAAGCCCTCCCAATAGGCAGCACATACTGAGAGTAGCTTCCAGCACCTCTTGTGATTAGCTTAATCTTGCCATGGATCAATATAGGGCACAAGCTGAACTTCCTTGCCCAGAGGACCAGGCACGCCAACTGGCCAGGAGAAAAAGATGCAGTCAGCGCTCTCAATCAGTTTAGAGAGAGGTGGCTGCAAAAATTAGGGCTAAGGCTCTAGCCCCCAAGAAAACGACCCAGGCCGAACTTAAAGCAGAGAAACGTAGACATGCTGCATTAGAGAGGCAGTTTAATAAAACAATAAAGCAAATGAGAGGGCACCTGCAACAGGTTTTCCAGTCAGGGGAACTCCAGGGTTACCAGGGAAGCCCTTCTAGGGGAAGGGAGGAAATTTCAGGATCCTTTGGACACCCTCCATCTTGGTCCCCTGAGAAACTTGAGGAATAACTCAATCCTCAAGATTTAAAATGGCCACTCACCTCGTGCAATGGAGGATTTACTCCCCCCAAAATGGCCACCCGCACGTGTTGTGGCCTCCGATAATGGCCGTCGCTCCCTAGGCCACTAAGAGCCCTGAGCGACAAAATCAGCCGAAAGAAAGAGCAGCCTCTGTAAAAGAGATCAGCTGGCTGTCGCTGTTATCGCTTTACTGATCGTCGCGATCGCGGCTGCTCGTGAGTGGAAGGCTGTGGGGGAGGCTGGTGGACGCTTCCCTTACTTGCCTTCCCGATGTTTGCAACGTTGAATCCTCGGCATTGCAGGAGAGCAGACCCTGCTCTTCTGAACACAGTTGCCCAGATCCCCGGGAGTTGTGTTTGAAGCTGTATTAGCTTTGTGGGAGTTTTTTGTTGAATATTAGAACAATCACTATATGCTTTCAGAGACACAGCTCACTGACTAAAAGAAGCTAAGTCAAAGCTGGGGAGACTCCCAGGGTCTGGCCTTTTATATACAAGAACAGACTCAGCTTAATGACATCATCAGGAGGAATCTAACCCATCCTGGGCTCTCGCAGCAGCATCAAGGAGAATGATTGGATACAAAACTAGATAAGAAATCTGAAAATGTAACTATGACTATGTATGTATGTTGTATATTGTAACTTGGAGTCACATTGCTCACTTGAAGAGATGTATAAAAAAATTTTAAAAAAAACAACGCAAGGACAAACCTTCAAGCTCAATGACTCAAGCCGAAGCTCTGGCCACTGAATCGAGATAATAATTGATGCTAGTCTAATCGCAATGAACAACAATCCTGAAGAAACACAGTGTCAAAAAACACATCTGCAGAGTTCCAGACTGAATAGAAAACTGGGGACTGTTGGAGAACAGGAAGTGTGTCCTCAGTTTAAACTATTCAGTCTAAAGAGCTAGCAGACCAGAGTGAACCCCAAGCTACTGGATTCTACCAACACCACTCTGGAGAAGATTGTAGGGTTAGGGCCACATCAGGGAGCAAGATGTTCCAGAGAGTTGGAACAACAGCAAAGTAGGCTGTCCTCCTGGACCCCGCCAGCCATTTCATCCAGGATTCTCTGCAGCTGGCAGGCTACCACTTTTGTATTTTGTGCCCTGCCCTGCCCTTATTCCTCAGGCAGTTGAACGCCGCAAAAATTGAGAAAATAGCTATATAATATTGAAAAATAGATCTGCAACTGTTTATTTAGTAACTATAATCATATTGAATTTTGGTGGGCCGCAGAGAAATCCCAGAGCACCTCCCCAAAGCAATTAATCCAGGCTGTGCAGAAACACAAGGCTACGCTGCCCACATGGCCCGCGGGAACCCTCCCTGCCCACTCACTCCTTACCCTGCAAACTTGCCTGCTAAAATGCTATTTTTCTGACCATCAGCTATTCTGCTGTGCCGGGAGATTTAGTTTAGCTAGGAAGCAGGAAATGGTTGGATTTCTTGCTTTCTAGCTAGTCTTTAGATCTTCGGCTCCACTTTTAAGCACAGCCAAACCTCCCTTAGGACTGAAGGTTCTATTATTCAGTGCAGACTCACGGCAAGCAAATTGTATGTGACAGACTGAGCTAGCTAATGGCAGATCGATAGATCACTGAATGATTCTGTGAACAACTCAAGCTGCCTGCCTGTTTTGCCTGATCTTGGGTAAAAGTTGCTCTTTTTTTATAAAAAAATTCAATATTTACATACATGGTGTGTTTTGAGTTAATTTTGTGAGTTTGCTTGCTAGCAAATTTTATGTGACAGACTGAGCTAGGTGATGGCAGATAGATAGATCTCTGAATGAATCTGTGATTCTGTGAGCAACTCAATCTGCCTGCCTGCTTTGCCTGATTTTGGGTAAAAATTAGTCTTTTTTATTAAAAAAAATCAATATTTATATAAATATTTATAATATTTACATACAGCTATGCCCAGTCAGTCACATGACCACCAAAACACATCCCCAAATTAGGTCATGCCCACAGAACCGGTTAGTGGTCCCTGGGATTTAAAATTATGAGTTTGGTGGTCCCTGAGATCCAAAAGGTTGGCAACCTCTGCACTGTAGGACACATACTGACTATAATGGCAAACATGACTAACAAAGAGAGACTGACAGAGAGAGAGATTTTGCAAAGGTTATAAATGCAAGCATTGGAAGCAGTTACTTTTTCATCACCATTGCAAGCTGCAAACATTTCCAGTCCGAACAGTCACTAAACAAGAACTACCTAAGTATAGAATTCAGAATTAATGGATTGGTCATTGACTGCAATAAATATTCTTGTCTTGAATTCAGAACTAACAATACCCATATAATTCTTTAATTATGGTATTTCCCATGCTCTTTATTACTCAGCCCAATTGTAGATGTTTCCCCAAGTTTATGCTCCTCATACAGTACCTCTAAAATTGCCATAGACCAAATAATATATATGATCTGATATCGTATATAACCAACAAATGTCAAAAGGAAACCACTATCTTAATAGGTTTAAATCTCATCTTTTCTGATAAGCATTTACAGACTGTCTATATAGAAGCTGAACAAATGTCTATTTTATGCCTCATATATAACTAAATTGCTTTATATTTATTATATACACTGATAAATTAGTTGTGACAAGTTTAAAAGTATTTTTAAAAATAGTAAATAAATACTATTAATAGTAAAGTAAATACTATATTTTAGTAAATAGAACAAATATTGTAATAAATAGCAAAACAAAAACTATCAGTAAAAATACTATTAAACAATATAGTAAACAAAACTGTTTAACAAGTTCTATTTGTCAACTGACATCTAGCTTCCAACAGAATATTCCAGTAAAATTCTACCCTCATATAAAAGGAACTGCCATGCTGCTTTAAAATAAATGCCTTTTCAAACAATATCACTGATTGATTTTTTTTCAAGAAGAGGTACTAGAATCTTTGTAGCTCCTTTTCTGTTCTTTGCTGATACAGGCCAACACACATACACACACACACACACGTGTGTGTGTGTGTAATATATATATGGAATCTATGTACGTATGTATGTATATGTATATATATTCTCCATATATAGATAAGATACAGAAAAAGGGTTAACAAAGGATAGTCAAAACAAAAAACCAAAAAGCAGAATGTTTTCTTTGTTTTGTTTTTTACAATTTATGCTTCCTTACCCTTCTTATTTCATTTACTGAGAAAACTCTAAGTTGGTAGAAATATAAGAGTGACGCTTTTGTCCCCATTCTAAGTGTCTTGTCATTTGTGATAGCTATCAACCAGTGATGCATAAAATACAAATAAAATATTTATAAGAAGTTACACTGAAACTATCTTTAACTGCAACTTCTGCCATTAACAAAGAAAAACATTCTTCTTAAAATAAGAACTATAGAATTGCAATTGCAAAAACGGAAGAAACTCCATTCATCCTTATAACTACATTCAAATCTCTTCCAAATGATAGCATTTACCTGGGCCAATCCTATCAGAAACATGCTGAAAACTCTGTAGCTCAAAATTTATATGGAGAATACATGAACAGAGAATGTTTATATTGTGAGTTCACTGCTCAGAAGAAACATATTTAATGAAAATAAGCATACCCATTCTGATACATGATTCCTCTCCTGACTTTCCCCAAGCCAGGAATTCTCCTGGTGCAGGGATACTGTATTGGAGATGCAAACCTTAGATAACCACTAGACTGCACCAAGAGCTGATGCTTCTGTACGTCTTAGTTGTCGTCTAGTAACCATCCATTTTTTTGCAGCTCAGATACAACAACTCTGTCTAGGCATGGACTTTAAATCCTAGAATTCATAAGCTATACTGCCTGGGAACTATGGAAATTGAAGTTCATATACATCAAGGGCATCCAGTTTGTACTTATTTTTTTCAAGATGCTATTCAAGACATCAACTCAGCAGAATCACCTGTTCTATTATTTTTTTAATTCCTTGTAAGTCCTATTCAGAGAATATGTGCCTCTTTCTAGATGACAGAATGTCTTAACAGATCTCTGAAGTTACCTTCTTTATAAAAAGGATTTGTTCTTGAAGCACATGTGGATAATTCTGATGGGGATCCTATAACTTTGTAACACTCAGGCTTGTTTAAAGCATTCTTTTGAGGAATATGAAAAGTCAAAGCCAAATATAACATTGAAAAAAAAAAGAAAAAACAAACTTTTAATAACTATTACTGTATAACTAATTAAGCTTAAAAACAGTTTTGATTAATTTGCCATGGTAAGGTCATCAATAACGAAGTTGCCTGCATAAAAATATGGATAACTCAATAATAACATTGAGGAAGCTGATCAAGAAATTATTCCACGTTTGACCTGGAATTTTTGGCAAAAATTAACCACTGTACTGCATGTTTTCAAATTATAAAAATCTATTGTTGCTCTACTGCAAAACAATGCTTAATAAAGGAATAACTGAGCTATAGGTTAGATACATTTTAAAAATATATTTCATTCTTTTGAATCAAATATTTCTCTAAAGTAAATTTGAACTATGGATAAGAATAAGCAACCTATGGCCTTCAAGATGTGACTGAATTCCAAAAGCTACCAATTTTCCCCATTGGCCAACAAGATAATAGTAAAACATTAAAACATATAAAGGTGCAGCCATATTTTCAAAAGCAAGCGAAAGCATGTTTCAGATGTTTCCCATGAAACAGTGAAAGGATCCAGGAAGCATGACTTTTCTGTTGCATCACCTGCCTCTGGAATGGTACACTCCCCGCTCCATCTGACTCAAAGTTCAAGTAGGCTCAACCTTGCCAGCCTTTAAGTGGGCCTTGAAGACCTGGCTCTTTCCTCGCACAAGTTAGGAAGTATATGCCTTGGTCAAAGATCTATTAATATGCTGGGTATATTAGATCTGGATTACAGGTTTCCTTTTGTTTTTACTCTACTGGTTATAATTTTAACTTGTATATTGCCAATTTTACACACTTGATTTACAAACAATTTTCGTTAAGTTGCAAATTGATCCTTCAGAAAAGTGAATACATTTGTTAAACTGCTACCAATTTTCAGATGAAATACAGTACACACCCAAAGTACATTTTTGCTATCAGAAATACTAATTTTAGATTATAATGTAATGCACTGCACTTGGCCAAGTGTCAAATTCTAAATGCAGCAGGATAAATCTTTCTTTTAAAAGACACAAGATAATAATTGTCATTTATTCTATTTCTGACTGTCCTGAAAGTCCAGTTTGATGATTCTCCACAATGCCAAAGTCAGCAATCTGACAACTATGTTAAAAGGAGAAACAACCATGGAATGTGTTTATGTATAAAACCAAGGTAGAAAAAATAGAACGTATCATTTTCAATGATTGCCCTTTAGTCATAGCAATCCTAAAATTAATCCATCCATTGATTACCCAAAGAACAGTATA